ATTGCTATCTTCTAAGATAGATTTGCAATTTCATGGCCCTTAAGCCAAATCTAGTCAGATGATTTTGTAAGTTTTTATATGAACAGGCATGCCATGGTAAGATCTCCAGGAGATAACAATCCTTTGTTTAATGTGTAATAATCAAACAAACAAACAAGAAATTTAAAAAATAAAATAAAGTGTAATGAGGACAAGAAATTTGGTATTATACGATACCAAGGAAAAGCACTTTAAATGCTTTAATCATTCATTTTCTAAAATGGAAGTAATAAGCCAGGCATGGTGGTGCACACCTATAATCCTAGCATGTGGGAGGCTGAGGCAGGAGGATTGCCATGAGTTTGAGGCCAGCTGAACTACACAGCAAAATTCTGTCTCTAAAGTATGAAAAATAGGGCTGGGGATTTAGTTCAGTGGCACTGCGCCTGCCTTTCAAGTGCAAGGTCCTGAGTTTGATACCTGGTACCTAAAAAATAAATAAATAACCCTAAATTTTTTTAAAAATAGAAATAATAGGTTGGGAATGTGGATCAGTAATAGAATGCTTGCCTAGCATTTGTGAGGCCCTGGATTCAATCCCACCCCACAAAACAAAAAATGCAAAGTATTAATTACCTTTAGAAGGTCATGGATATTAGAATACTTCACAATCTAAGTGTCCATCAAAGTATATATGAAGAAAATATATGGGGTGTGTGTGTGTGTGTGTGTGTGTGTGTGTGTGTGTGTATACAAAATGCAATAGTATCCTGTCATATTAAGATAAAATCCCTATCATTTGGGACAGCATGGACTAACCTAAAGGACATTACACTAGGTGAAATATATAGAGACACGTATGGAGTCTGAACTCATAGGAGAGTGGAGAATGGCAGCTAACAACACTCGGGGGATGAGAGGGAACAGAGAGATGTTGGTCAAACAGCACCAGGTTCAGGGACACAGAAGGAATGTTTTTGTGATCTACTGCACCTCATGGTTACAGGTATTTGCCAAGAGAATAAACTTCCCTTCTTAAGAGAGAGAGAGAGAGAATGGCAGTGACAGTGCGTACCCGTGTTTACAGCAGCACAACTCATAACAGCTAAATCGCGGAAGTGGGCTACATGTCCATCAACAGATGAATGGATTTTTAAAATGTGTTTTATATACACACAGTGGAGCAAAATAAAAGAAGAGACAGGAGACAGAGCTTTAGCAAATGAGAAGGGGACCTAGGGTTGGAGGGAGGAAGTGGGGCAAAGCAAAAAGAATGTATCAGCCCAGCAGGATGAATGTAATCATTATGCACTGCAAACATGAATTAAAACAAATTTTTAAAACTGAAAAGTAAAAATGAAAATAATCCTTCAATGTTATCACAAAAAGCAATAAGCATGAGATGTTTGATTTATTCCACAATGTATACATACATCCCACCATCACATTATACCCCAAATAAATACTGCCAATTAAAATTTACTAAAAATCTGAAAAAGCTGCAGAAGTACAGAGGTCAACATAAAAGTCTAAGGTGTCAACTAAGGTAGACCTAAGCAACATGACTCAGAATCACCTTGGCCAGCTCTTTCTTTAGCTCTTTACTTCTCAACATGTAGAATTTCTGAGTATTCTAGAATGCTAATTAGACTAAGATTCCACGGCCCGATGTCCAGAAGTTGCTTCCTAACACCAGTGTGGGCCTGAGTGAGAACTCCACATGATTCTAACGCCTGTGATCTGGGAAAATTTGCTGTAGATGTAACTGATATTTTACACGACACATTTAAAAAGACAGTATTTTAAAGTAACGTTTTGTTATCAAAAAGAAACCTTAATGTAATAATAACTAACGCATGCTGCAACATAATTTAGCTAGTTCAGAAATACTGCAAGAATCAAGGTCTGCCCACTCTTTTTACCTCCCTCCCATGGAAACATTTGGTTGATTAGCTTTCCGGCCTTCTCCCTAAGCTTATGTAAATGTATATACTGGGTTAAAATGATGAGCATTTGATACAGTCTTAAGATTTTTTTGCAAGTTAAATAATGGTAAAATGGTAAATTGTTTACACATTTCTGAGCAACTGTGTGTTTTTTGTAGGACAGGTCCCTAAAGGTTCAATTGCTGGGCCAAAAGATTTGAACAGACGGAAGGGAATAAAATAAAAAAGTGTTTCCCTGTCTCCTTCCAATTTCCAATCCCATTGTCCAGAGGAAGTAACTTGATATTGTGTTTTTATACTAAATGCTTCAGGTGTTTTAACCCAAGTCAATCTGTCCTTCAAAGGGGCCTATTTCCCTAACATATTTTATGTCTAACTTTAATCTTTGAGTGGCAATTGGATGTTAGTGCCTTCATTGTTTCCAAGTCCCACTGGCAACAGAATCGTTCATCAGAGCACAGAGCTTCAAATAATGCTGAAAACGGAGGGAGCTGCTCACAAACGCTCTTCAGTAACTTGATGAGTCTCTTCTCTCAGGATTTAAATAACTTTCTGGGAAAAATCTAGAATGAGAAGCAAATTCTTTGTGCACAAAATTATTTCTTAAAATTTTATTCTTGGCCAGGTATGGTAACACATGTCTGTAATTCCAGTACTTGGGAGGCTGCGGGAGGAGAATCACTGCAAGGTCAAGGCCAACCCAAGCTACATGGCAAGCTACATAGCCAGCCTGAACTACATAGCAAGACTGTCTCAAAAAAACACAAAAAAATTATACTCTAAAGCAAACTTATTTCTAACATTTAATCTTATGTATGTGCATGTTTTGCTGGGCATTTAACCCAGGGCCTTGCATGTGCTAGGCGAGTTCTATTGCTGACCTGTACTCTCCATCTCTGTAACATCTAGTATTTCATATTCTACTTTTTTTGGTATTAAGATTCCTTTTCAAGTGGTTCAAACAGGGCCAGTTTTTGGCTACTTGAAGTGTAAAGGGAAACATGCAAAATAAGACTGATTTTTCCAACTAAGAAATTCCAAGATACGAATTTGAATAGCAGCATTACTGGTTTAAGAGTCTAGCAGAGAAAAGCTGAATTTGATAGATAAAAGTCTAATATTCGTGTTTTTAAAAAGTTTTATAGTCATACTTTAAACCTGTATAAGGTTCCTGTATTTTCGACATGTATTTTTTTAACTACCATCACTCATCTGATTTAATCATGAAGTTAGAAATTCTGTGCCGTGGTGTAGATGTTCAAATTCAAGCCATTTTGAAACGTGCAAGTTGGCAACGATACTGGTTGTGTGGTTGTGTCCTCTGTTTACATAACCTGTGTAGTACTGAGTTCCGTGACCAAGAGGAGCTCCCTGAGAAGAGTGGTGTTGTTATTTCCCTTAACACACACAACCTGTGACATGTTTTTAAAAGGGTTTATATGAACTATGATATTGTAATCTTTGTAAGCATCTTCAAAGGGGTAGCAAGTTTATGTTTCTTTATTAATTCTGGTCAGAAAGTAAGGAAAATTGATTGTATTCATTAGATTTTAACTGACTGGAGCATTTCCTTCTAATCACAATTGTACAGTAAGGATAAAACATTAACTTAATGTGTATTCACTTGAAATTGTTATGTATTTTTAAATAGTGAAGAAAAGAAACCATTTTGTATATCTGAAGCTTTTTCCAACAGCTTTCATCTTAATGTGGAACTTAATCCTAACCAAAAGTTGAAAGTTGGCAAAAGCAGCCTTCTAGCAGAAATACTTTTTTTAATGAATGACAGCCTAAAACTTAATATTTTTATAAATTACTATATTGTTTTGTGGATAAATGAAATAAAAATTCTCATTGAATGTGCCTGTTTATCTTTTCAGCTGCTATTCATATATTTTCTCATTCCTTTTTAAAGAAAATTGATATATCCTAAATTTATTCTTCCATCGGAAAATTTAGTTACATGTAACTTCTGACAGTCAACTCTTTATTAAATTTATTATATTATTAATAATCTTACTCCGTGTGAAAAAATTTTCTTTTCATGAATGCTTTATTCCAGCCAAACTTTACTAGCCCACTATCTGTTTTTGTTTGTTTGTTTGTTTTGTTTTGTTTTGTTTTTGGTACCAGGGATCGAATTCAGGACTTAGGCTTGCAAGGCAGGTGCAGAACCACTGAGCTAAATAAATCCCCGGTCCCCTGAGCCTAATATTTGAATGAGCCATCACGGGAAATTTATACCAAAGCCCAAGGTTCACAACAAAAGTATTTTTTAAAGGGGATTTAGGTGAGCGGCACAGTGTTTGCCTCGAAAGCGCAAGGTCCTGTGTTCGATCCCTGGGTCGGGCGGGGTGGCATTTAAAAGATCAGATTTATGAGGCGGACGTAGTGGCGCACTCTTGTAATCCCAGCACTGTAATCCCAGGCTGAGGCAGGAGGATCGAAGCGAATCCGAGGCCAGCCTGAACTACATAGCGAGACCCTATCTAAAAAACAAAACAAAATACCACCAACCAGGGCCAGGGGTTTAGCTCAGTGGCACCGCGCCTGCCTAGCAAGCGCAAGATCCTGAGTTCTATCCCCGGTATGAAAGAAAAACAAAAAAACAACCCATCACCAACAAACTAAAAGATTAGACCTACTTATCGCTCTTTCTGCACAGATTCGTTTCCCAAGTCCACAAAAGGCGAGTTTGCACATGATGTCACTGCTCCCTGAGAGATCTGCAGCCCGGGCGATCGCAAAAGAGCGGACAGATCTTCCCAAAAGAGGGCAGACAGATACAGGAAACGCGGCGAGTCCGGAGTGTGGTCGCAGACACCACCGTCTCTGATTACCCTCCCTCCCACCTCATCCTCAGTCACTTCACAAATTCCTGCTTGGCTTGACGCTCCTTACTGCCTAAGCGCACAGCTCGCAGAATAAAAGAAATCTAACGCCAAAAACCGTAAGGCCACTGTAGACGCCGGGAGTTAAAACAACCGCTACTCCGTCTTGCAGAATCCATAGCAACCAACAGAGTCCTTAGCAATAAACAGCGGATATCCGTCTCTAGCCCCACCCTTCTGCTTGAATTTGCTTCCGCTTCCGGTCTGCTCAAGGCGCTGGCGTGAAGCGCTTTGCATTGTGGGACCTCCTTCCTTTCTTGCTCCCCAGCCATCTTGGTCACTGCTTTTGGTAAGTGGGCTCCCCGATGTGGATATTTGGGGAGCGCGAGAAGTCTTGTAGGTTGTTGTTTGCATCTCCAGTTCCTAAACCTCCTGCCCTGTCCTCTGTGATCCAGGTTGGGGACCATCCCACACCTACGGCAGGAAGATGGTGGCCGCAAAGAAGACGGTGAGTGAGGCAGCCAGGGCCGGAAGCCGGTTCACGTGGAGCGATGGTCTGGCCAAGGCTGGCGGATCTGGGCACGCACTGGGCTGGGGGGCGCTTCATCCCCACTGGCGTGTGGAGGATCTCAAAGGGAATCTCAGGCTTTCAGTAGTTTCGAAGGTTTTATACTCGATTCCAGGAGGCAGGATGTGATTGGAAGTGGTTGCTTATAAGTCCTTCAGGTTTGTGTTAAATGTTTGCTTTGTAGAAAAAATCTCTGGAGTCCATCAATTCTAGGCTCCAACTTGTTATGAAAAGTGGAAAGTACGTGCTGGGGTACAAGCAGACACTGAAGATGATCAGACAGGGGAAAGCGAAATTGGTCATCCTCGCCAACAACTGCCCAGCTTTGAGGTAATGGAACCTGGGTATGCGTCGCTGGCTGCAAATTCATCGTGTTGGAGTGACCAAAAGTGCAAACTTGTAATCTGGGTAGCATGAGTTCTACTTTATGTTGAATTTGTTCTCCGAGGAACGCTTCAGATAATGATTATTGTTGGCAGGTTGTTTTGGCCTTGATTCTTCCCCTTGTCATGTGTTCTTCTGTAAGGTTATTACCTTTGGGGAAAAAAATGTATGACCTGGGTTGGGCAGGAAGATTAAAAAGTATGACCCTCTAAGTTTGAGGCAAGCATAGATGCATAATTTGTCCATGTATTTTGTGTCTTGTCGTTTTTTATTTTTTATTTTTTCAGCTTAGAGAAATTTTTAGAGGTGCTTTTCTGTGTGCATTTGGCTTTAGTGTACAAGAGCCAAGTAAGAACAGCTCAAGCTGGACTATGAAGTTGCATTGGGTGTCATTGAATCACCTGATTTGGCAACATATGTCAGTTTTCTGAGATAAAGTTTATTGTTTGTATTTAGATTTTTATTTTGAGACAAGGTAGGGCCTTGCTGAAACTTTCGATCCTCCTGCTTCAGCCTCCCAGAGTGTTGTTATAGTCACATATTGAGCCTAGCTCAAGGTTTATTCTTGACCTATTTTGAAATTGAACCTAGTACACGTATTGTCAATGATCTAACGAAACTTGAGAATGTGAATCATGTGATGGGTGCTCTACTCTTTGGGTTTTCTATGACAATGCATAACCTACTCAAGAATTTTATATAGGCTGCCTCTAATTACCAGCAGTGCCTGGGCTGTTTGGTGTAATTCCAAACCACTCTTGAAGGTTTTGTTTGCTTGCTTGCTTACTTTCTATAGTAGTGTACCTCAGACATAACTATAAAACACCAAGGTTGTTCTTGTTAAAATGCCAGTTTTATTTCAGCAGGTCTGGGATGGGGCCTAAGATGCAATTCTAGCAATCCTTTGTGGCATTATTGCTGATAAGTAGATACACACATCAAGTGACGAGGTTCTATAGGACTCCTTTTAAATTCCTAAAACCACCAGTATCTGCTGAATTGACACTAAAGTGTTCTGTGTGTAAAGGGTAAATACCCACCCACCCAACCCCCTCTCTCCATCCCCATGTAAGATTTAAGGCACTAGTCAGAGGTAGAGATGGCTTATCTTTTAAAGATAACTGCGGTTTGGATTCTGGATCCTCCACTTACTCTGTGTCTCAGCTTCTTTAATTCCCATCTGCCTTCTTTCATGAGCGTAGATATTTTAAACATTAGGTACAGTAGGTATTTGCTGGTTACCTCGTTACTTGTAAGGGATCCACATAAAGGTTTGTTTTTATCAGCTAGTGGTTATGATGATTTTACGAATAGTAATGGGGTTTAGTTTTTGTTAGAAGGTTTGGGCAGCATTGCACCTAGCAAGAAGTAGTAACATTCAGTTTGCCACTTGGAGGGTGTTTATTTGCCTCTTTTTTTGGGGTTCCCAAAGGAAATCTGAAATAGAGTATTATGCCATGTTGGCCAAAACTGGTGTCCATCACTACAGTGGCAATAATATTGAACTGGGCACAGCGTGTGGAAAATACTACAGAGTATGTACACTGGCGATCATTGATCCAGGTATGCCTTTTAAATCATAAATTTTTTTTTTCCTTTCTGGAGTAATGTAAATATTTCCTGTTAGCAGATATCTTTGGTTCCTGAGCTCAAATGGTGAGAATTTGGATATACCAAGGGATAGTCTATAGTTTTACTTTGCAACAAATTCATAGTGAATGTTAGTGAATTATAATTCTTTGTCATGAATAAAAAGTATTTTTTACTTTGTATGAATTCTGTTTGAAATACCTAAGTAATGACTTAGAAACGTGGTAGAAGGTGAAACTTCAAAGTATAAGAAAGTAATCTTTACAACTTATAAAAATTGCGAATATTCTCGCTGTTCTGATTGTGTCATGATCAGAGCAGGCTAAACATTCGCTATAGTAAGACCATGCATGTGTCCCCAGACCTAGATCTTTCCCTAGGTCTGGTTTTATAAATGCTGGTGATAAACCAGGTGCAGATAGTGAGGAGTAATCTTCAAACTTGTCCAAAGAATGAATGTGTGACCTAAGTCAGAAAATTGTGTTGCCGTTAAATGAATTGTAAACTTAGTATTTTTTATTTTCTAGGTGATTCTGATATCATTAGAAGCATGCCAGAACAGACCGGTGAAAAATAAACCGTGAAAATTTTTCATTAATAAAACTTGCCAGAGCTTGTTTTAAAAGCTGTATCCATTTCATTTATTTTTCTCTGATTCCTGACACTTTTATGAAAGGCTCTGAGAGGATGAAGCAGCGAGATGTGGCATAGTGGCAAAACTTTTCCATTGAAGAAGTTACACATTCCGCTCTGCGATTTCTTGTTTTTCTAAAGAGAAGGCACTGAGCATCCCTTACCCAAAATGTGTGGGATTGCAAATGTTTGAGATTTTGGAAAATTTGCACATATATAATGAAGTGTTTCGTGGTGATGGGACCTATGTTTAGACACAAGTTTCTTTTTTTGTGCTTTATTTACATACATTGTACACATACAACCTTAAGGTAATCTTATGCAGTAATTGTGCATGAAACAGTTGGTGGCATTTTCACGTTGTACCTCCAGTGCTTAAAAAGTTTGATTTTTGAAGCATTGCTTATTTGTAGTTTTGGATTGGGTATGTTCCAGCTATGCTAGATTTTTAAGATAATTTTTAGAATTGTAATTTCAGGATATTAAGTGATTCATCACAGACTTAGAAAAGTACTAGTGATTTTTTTTTCCCCCCAGTATCAGGGATCAAACTCTGAAGCTTGTGCTTGATAGGCAGGCATGGCACCACTGAGCTACATCCCTGGCCCTCTAGTGAATTTTAATGAAGAAAGGTATTCCTGGAGTTGTGATGGGTGTATAGAAAAAAATATACTTGGGTGACTTCAGAATAAGCCCAGGTCTTCAGTAAGTATGAAGTATAAGATCGATTGCCCCAGTATATTTTGTTCATTTCTAAAAGATACAAAATATAAGCTGGGCGTGGTGGCACATACCTGTAATCCCAGCACTTGGGAGGCTGAGGCAGGCGGATCATTGAGTTCAAGACCAGTTTGGACTACACAGTGAGACCCTGTCTTGAAAAAACCACACACAAAAAAAAGATAAAAAGTATTTTCGGTGTTGAGATTTTAGGGGAACTGCACATCTGCCATAGAAAATGTCCCATAGAACCCTTTTCCCACGCGGTCCCTTCTGAAGATTCAGAGGAAATAATTTGGGGGAAATAGCAACTTCGTTTCATTTGATGATTACCAAGTTCAGTGGTGCTAGTAGAGAGTGTACCCCAGGCAGGCTACGGGGCTCTTGGAAGTGACCGTGTCTTTAATTTTAGAATCAATCTCGAATGCTGTTTCCCTCCCCTCCTGTCCACTCAGGCAATTCTTGGTGATAGATGAATGAGACAGGAAATGAGGGTGCTGTGTCTATGCTGTTGTGTCATTCTGTTGACAAGCGAGGGAATTGGTTTCAACTATATCTGAGGTGGAATGTATACTTGGGAGAGTCTGGCTGTTACTAATGTGGTTGTTACTCTGGGAACATTGTTGACATTTTATACTGGGACAGTTCTTGGGAAGGGCTGTATTTCAGCTTTTCAGCCATATTGCAGAAATGTCACTCCCATATTTTTAAACTTGTGTGTCTCCTGGTTAAGAGGTACTGAGTTGCCAGGCATGAAGTGTGCCTGTAATCCCAGCACTCCAGAGGCTGAGGCAGGATTTCTGCAAATTCAAGGCCAACGTGGGCTACATATTGAGAACCTGTCTCAAAAGACAAAAAGCTACTGAGTTAAAAGTTTTAAGGTGATATTTATGTTACATATTCAGAGACCAGTGTGACTGACTTGAGACGGGGTAATGCTATGTATTTCTGCCTCAGCCTCCCAAGAGCTAGGATCACAGACATGCACCACCCCACCCAGAAAGACCAATTCTTAACAAGATTTCAAACTTAAATTATATTGGGCATGATGGCACCTGCCTGTAATCCCAGTATTGAGAGGCTGACAGAATCACTGAGAACTTGAGGCCAGCCTGAAATTCATAATGAGACCCAGTCTCAAAAAAAAAAAAAAAGGGGCCAGAGATTTAGCTCAGTGGTTCTGATTGCTTGGTCTGACTACTGCTCTCAAAAACTTAAGTTTCTACAGTTTGATAAGATATTTCACTCTAGGCTAAGGAACTTTATGTACTTTTAATCTATGAAGTCAGCTTCTCCCCCAAGTGGACTTTTTACACTGTTCAGATTATTTTTTCTTCCAGGATGACTAGTCCTAATTTAATGTCTGAGGTGTGACTTGAAGAATACAAAATTACAGATGCCAGTGTGCCTTTTCCTTTTCTGTTTTTTGGGGTAGTGTTTATATAGCATGGCTTGCAGACACTTTGGAATGTTTTATCAGTACATGTTGTGCATAATTACCTTCATCATGGGGAGTTGGCACATGTACAGAACATCTTAATTCTTTCTACTCCTCCATCTGGGGATCGCCTTCCCTTTTCTAAAGATCTATTTCCATATTTCCTGTTATCTTTTATTTTGCTCTTGAAATTATTTATACTTTGGGTTCCTCACATGAGAGAAACCATGAAATTTTAAACTTGGGTGTCTGATTTATTTCATTTAACACTGGTCTGGAGGTGGATCCGTTTTTGTACAAATAACTCAGATTTATGGCCTACTAGTTCTCATCATTAAAAGGAACATTCATGTAACCTCTCCCCATGATAAATCATGTACTGCAAAGGTGTATTTATAAAAATACAATTTTGGGGGCTGGGGATTTAGCTCAGTGGTTCCACCACCTGCTTTGCAAGTGCAAGGACCCAAATTCCATACTCGGTACCAAACAAATTTTTGTAGAAAAGAAAAATGGTAAATGATAAAGTGGAATGTAAAACTTGTAAGTACAAGTGGCAAAAGCACGGAGAATGGAGAAATAGTTCCTATTTTAGACAAGGCTCAAAATTCTTTTAAAATTAAGACAGGGTCTCACTGTAGTTCAGGCTGGCCTTGAACTCAGTATGTAGCCCAGCCTGGCCTCGAACCTGCAGCAGTTGTCCGGAGTGCTGGAATTACAGGCTTGTGCCACCAAGCCCAGTTTAAATCTTTTGAATTCACATTTTAAAAAGGTGGAATTCCTTACATAGTTGTGCTCCCACTTCCACTCCCAAATTGGAGAAATTTTGAGCCACTAGAGGGAGCACCAACACAGAAAGTGAAGTAGAACTGAGCCAACTGGAGACGTTTCAAAATTAACACTAACCCAAATCAGTACTCTTGAGGGTCGATTGCACATAGACAGTGCCTAGACCAACCCTCATCGATGAATAAATTTGTTATTTTACTTCCATTCTGCTGCCTCTGTGTGTCACTTACCATTTCCTTCTGCAACACTACATCCCAATGAAAGCCCATTTCCAGGTAAAATGCATTGTTTAGATACAAATTCCAGGGCTCATAATGAATCATGATAATCAACTAAAGCACCACACTGCCCTTTGGGAGGATCTTCTGGTGAAAATGGCTTGAAATAGTTCAGTGTCAGTTCATTTGTAAAACCATTTGGATGTAATTCAGTCTGTGTCTCAGGAAGCTGTTTCTTGCTCTGAGTGCCATCTTGAGCTGGTAACAGCTGAAGTCCCCTTAGCTGTGTTCCCACGTACCTTTCCCTGTCTGGTGTACGTCCTGCACATTTCCTGTACTTATCAGTATGTCGTTCTGCCACTAGTGTTTCTGAGCATGTGTTTTAACTTACAGAAATGATATATATAAAAGTTCTGTGTGACTTTAGGGAATTCCTAGATGTGCAGTATTTGTGTGGTTGGACTGCACCACAGTGTACCAGTTCCCCTTCAAATGTGATGCTTTATTACCTTTAAAAACTAGTTCCATTCTTCTGCATCCTTGTAGGTCTGTGCTACAATCATCCAGGTAGACACCTGTAAGTGCAGCTGCCAGTCAGGCTTGGCTGCCTTTTTTGTTTTAGTCTGTAGGTAGATTTATTCCCCAAAGAAACTGCCAATTTGTACTTTCAGGAACAGTATACAAGAGCCCTATATTTCCACTTCTGACTAATACTCATCAGACACTCATTTTTGTCAAGCTGATGGAGTAAAAAAAATAGTTTTTTTGTTTTGTTTTTTGGGGGTCCTGGGGATCGAACTTGGTTTTTGCACTTGGGAGGCAGGTGGTGGAACCACTGAGCTAAATCCCTAGCCCAAAAATAGTATTGCTTTAATCTGCATTTTCCTGACTAGTAAGATTAACCAGTTTTTCATATATTGGCCATTTTCATGTATGCATATCTTGTATTTGAAGATAAACAATAATTTTACACAGAACGCCATTTTCTGAAGTGAATTTTACTATTGTATAAAACATTCAACCTGTTGGGGCTGGGGATTTAGCTCAGGGGTACCGCGCCTGCCTTGTCAGCACAAGGTCCTGAGTTCATTCCCCAGTACCGGAAAAAAATTCAACTTGGTACTTAAGTACATATGTCCTATGATTTGTATGCATCCGTATACATATATCAGGGTAAAGTCCGATACCAAAACAGCATTTCCTGTGGCCGGCCAGTGACTAATGGAAGGAGGACTGAGAAGTGTTTTGTAGTCAAATGAGAATGCAATGCTAAGGCTGGCTGGGGCAGAAGCAGAGCGTGTCCAGAGGACGTTACAGAACACTGTGTAGTTTATTCTCATGGTAAACACATCCTGGGATACTGATACATTTGTTTTCTTAAATTTATACAAGTTAGTGTGTACTCTTCGTCTTTGTTGTATAGCAAACCAGCTTCCTCAGAACTGGTTGTGTTTACTGCACATTACAGACTTGGTAACAGCTGAGCTGTGGGACTCTGGGCCTCCTGTGACCCTTGGCACCACGGTGTACAGACAGGCACAGCGTTTTCATCCTCATCTGGTTCTCAGGCGATTTTCCAAAGCTTCCATTCTCTGTGTCATTTCTTCTAGTAAATCTCAAATTAAGGAAGAGGAGTATGAATTACTTGTTTTAATTGACATTCAAATATGACTTGATTCGTCTACATAAAAATTTGTCCTGAAATACAAAAGGTTTTGGGGTTTTTTCTCCATGAATTTAAAAAAAAATTTATTTTTATTTTTGAGACAGGATTTCACTCCAGGCCGGCCTTGAACTCACAGTGATTCTCCTGCCTCAGTCTCCCAAGTGTGCGACTTATAGGTGAAAGTCACTACACCTGATTTCTCCCCGATTTCTGTGAAATATTTTAAAATCCTGATTTATGAGTTCATAGTAACTCATTTAACATGCTGTCAAGATAAATTCAGTCCAGGTTAAGTTCAGTTTTAGAAATACCAAAGCCAGACAGCTCAGTTTGAATTTGTCTTTTTCATCAAAGTTATCATTCCACTCACACCCCTATTCCTTGTTGATCAGTTTGTTAGAGCACAGCTCTGGGAGGCAGCAGGGAAAATATGGGATGTAAAGAGGAGTGAAAGGATTACGCTGTGGAAAACAAAACTACGAGGTAGGAAGAGGAAGGGCCGGGTACAGCAGCCTTGAGGAGCTCAGTCCTCTGCTCTCATAGGAACCTGAGCCTCTGACCTGCAAGGGGCAGGAAGGGAGAAGGGTGCATCAGAAGAAGGGTTTCTTTTCCCCAGAAGCTCCTAGCTGCCCCCTACGCTGGCAGTGAGATCCCAGATTCATCATCTGCATTAGCTACCGCCAACAGATGAGTCCATTTCCATGTTTAAAGGGGGAACTGCTACATGCCAAGCTCCTTAAGGTACCGGCCCACTGGCACCGAGGTAGCTGGGAATTAAACCATTTCCCTGCAAACTAGCTCAACACGCTGAGAAGCATCAGCCAGCTTTTGTGAGCTCACTGTAATTTTAAGTTCAGAGCACTTGGCAGTGAGTTCAATGTGTAAAAAACCCAAAACCTCATTTCTCTTATCCCACGATGTCCCTTTCTTTATAATATTGATTTAATGAATCCCTGGATCCTGCTGTTCCCTCAGTAGGATGTTTCATCTTTGAGAGTGCTGATATTAAAGATCTCTGCTGCCAAAAAGAGAAAGAAAAGAAAAGCCCAGCCAGAAAGCCTCAGTCCCCAAGAAACTTCACGCTGAATTTCAGTGTGGCTGCCCTGCAGGCGGGGGCTAAAGAACATGTTCAGGGTTGGAGCTGAGAGCTCGTTCTACAGCATTCTTTGCCCAGGCACACTGTGCTTTGATACACCTCAGACCCAGCACTAGGGCCTGTCCTCTGCGGAGATGGAGGAGGTAAGTCCCTTCCATTCTCTGCTAATCCCTTACGACAGCAGATGGCAACAAAGTGCTTGACTACTGTCACCAAGCTCAGCCTGACCATGGCTCCCAAACCCCTGTCAGGCTGCTTCAAAAAATTCCTTTTCTGGAGTTCATTATTTTTGTTTTTTGAGACAGGGTCTAGCTACATAGTTTGGGCTGGCCTTGAAGTCACTATATACCCCAAGCTGGCCCCAAACTCACAGCAGTCCTGCCTCAGCCTCCCGAGTGCTGGGATTACAGATGTGCGCCATTACACCCAACTTCTGCCTTTGATGTCTTGGAATGACTTCATTTGGTAAAAGCCACAGATCCAGTATTTGTGAAATTTAGATATCTTCATTTTCTACAGAACGCAATATTAGAAAAGGATATAGCGCTGTGTTAATTTTCTGACTTCTTCATTCGCAAGGTTCTGGAACATGATAAGGTTTTCACATTTGCATTGGTCGTGCTTTTTTTCCAGAACATCCCCTGAGAAAGCAGATGGAGAGTGGTCACCTCGGTCACTCACCAGACTTCCCCAACACATAACAGCAGGACTGAACCAGCATACAAGGGAGCCCATAGTGAAAGAAATGTCCAGCTTTTCCAGGCAGCCACACCGGCAAGTAAATACCGGGAAAGGGCTGCCTGTGCGCCCCACACTGGAAGAACCCTTAGTGTGGAGTAGGAAGAAGACTACTTGTGTCCTCTTAGTTTATTGTTTTAGTTCTCACTGTACCTAAGCTCTTTCTTCTTTTTTCCTCTTTACTACTTCCTTGAAGCTAAGCTTGCTGTCAAGTTGAAAGGCCAGTTTCAAGTCATCTTAAGTAGTATTTTACTTGGAATTACCTGAAGACTCTGTGGAGTGGAAAAGCTTTCGTGTGGACTGTGAAAGATTGTCTCCTTCAAATAGGTATCTATGTTGCACTGCAAAATTAGAACAGGAAAGTAGGTCTTGTATATTTATGGTGACTGGCTCAGATTCTGTAAAGAGAAAGAAAACTGAAGTCAAACCTGCTTAACACTATTGTGGCCTAAAGCAGCCACCATAGGAGCAAGGAAGGCACCTGGTCCACCTGGTCCTCCTAGTTCATGGTGACAGTTTACTTTAGGATATATTATGACACAAAGACAGTAGAGAAGCCGGTGACCAAATATGGCTTAAAGCACAGAGTAAATCTTCCCTATCTGGTAGAGGCAAAAAGGCCTCAGCTAAAATAATTCAGATCTTACTTTCAGCTTTGTATCTGGAGGAAAAGCATGGCAGAAGCCCCATCGAGTGAGAACACTGCTTTTTCAGATGTACCTGTTGGCTGGTGGACCCTCTTTGGCAGCTCCTGTGCTGGGGAGTCCTGTCTCCCATCAGAGTCATCTAGAGCTGAGTGGGAAGAGATATCAAAAAGAAGTGACAAGTTGCCACATGCACAGCCAACTCCTTAGCTACCTTCCATAACCCAGGGCCTTTGGTTTTGTTTGATAACACCAAATATTCAAAAACCTAGGACCACTTTGGGGCAGCTCTCCTAGAATCCTGGGTCCCCTGTGATACATATTCTAAACACCCCCCCACACGTGTCATGTCTAGGGGGTAGCACAGAAAAGAATTAAAGTCTCAGGGTTAGTTGCAATGGCAACGACTCCATTTGAAGCATTTCAACATAATGAAATGGGGCCAAAACCATCTCAGAGGAACCCAAGGGCCCTTCATCCCAGAGTTCCTTCCAGTAGAGGAGCAAGACCCAACTCTTAGGACTGGATTTTACAGAGGACAGCCTGGGACTGGAGTCAGAGGACACAAAGGCAGAACTGTGTGTGTGTGTGTGTGTGTGTGTGTGTGTGTGTGTGTGTAAGCACCCTAGTGAAGTGGAAAGAAGGAGATAAAGCAAAGCCTGAATTCAGGGCAGCCTAGTACTCCACAAGCACAAGTGTCCACACAGGAAGGCATCCTCTATCCCTGTGCGGCCCTGCAAGGACGACCCCTGCCACTCCAACATCATGCACATCCTGAGAATACACACAGCTCTCCTGAGTCAGAACGTTTGTTTGTTTCTTTTTTTTTTTTGGTACTGGGGATTGAACTCCAGTCCTTGCAAGGCAGGCCACCGAACCACTGAGCTAAATCCCCGGCCCAGAACGTTTGTTTCTTGATGAGATGATCACACGGCAAAACACCTGTCGTCATACACAAGTGTGTGTCCCCGTCCCTGGCCACCAGGGAGGCACTCAGAGCCTGTGGAAGGAATCGGCCCCGAGCCCTGCCCTGGCCCCCGCACCTTCACAGATGCCCTCCTTGAGCTTCCCGCTGATCTCGCCCATGCTGCTGAAGTCCTCTGCATAGAAGAGGTGCTTGGCGGTGGGATCCGAGGCGATCTCCTGCAGCTCCTCCTCGATGGCCTTTCCTATGCCGACGGCATACATGGCGATGCCTGGGGGCAGAGCAAACTAAAGACAAGGTCGGGTGGCCTTTCAAACACCCAGGGCTACTGAGTGGTCACCCTTGTCTTTGTATGCCCTGCCATTTTACTCTGGCACTAGGAGCGAAAGAGACGCCCGGAGAGAGGTGAGCCATCTGGGTGAGGCTGGTGTGCGGAGGCACCAACCTGCTCCTGAACACATCTGCAGCTCTGCCCTGAACTGGCCGTTCTGGTTAGGTAGAGAGCATTCTCCTGTGGCTCCCTAGAAGGGAAATTCTTCTGGAAGAATTCTATGAGGCAGGTCCATTTCAGACCTTATTAGCTGATTCCTACTTCTCAAAGGTCTGGGGTAGGAACCCGAAGTGACCTTGGGCCAAGTGAAGCTGCTTCTGCCCACCTGTCCTGGGAGAACACCACCTTGGAAGACCCTGAGCTGAAGAGGCAGCTCTGAAGACCATTCGAAACCCCCGTCGAGAAAAAGAACAAGGCCAGGTATCAACCTTAGATTTCCAAAGCTCCAAAAGCTTTTCAAAATCCTTAGGCCCCCTCCCCCATATACTTTTCATTCCAACATTTTTCAGCTCTGATGTTATTCTGGCTCGTTCATTAGACTACATATTTTTTTAAATGCACATAAAAACGGCTCGTAAAGCCAAGGGGTAAGGGTTACACCTCGTTCCAAGTCTGTAAGGTCAGTAGCCAAGTCTGGCATACTTGTCTGCAAGCCCAGAGGCTTTATGCACAACTTCCCCAAAAGGGTAATGGCTGCTTGAAGATACTCTACCCATACGTAGGGATAAATTCAGGAGACGATTTCATGCCACACAAACCTTGCTGATTCAAGAGCCAGATATCTGTTCCTCCTACCACCTACCTTTGGATGATTTGTGAAATCTGAATGGGGGAAAGTGTTAGGTAGATTAGTCTCTTTTGTTGTTGTGTTTTGAGTCAGGCTCTTGCTACATAGTCCAGGCTGGCCAGCAACTCACAGTGGTCCTCCTGCCTCAGCCTCCCGAGTGCTACACTTGGTGTGGCCCACCATGCCCTGTTCAGGTAGATTTGTCCTAATGAGTCAAATGTAGGGTGAGCCAGCAGTTCTAGAGAAAAAGATCCTTGCCCCAGTACTTGTTAGAATGCAGGCCAGCAGGGCCATGGGTTAGCTGTGAGTCCAGCCAGCCTGTCTAGTGTGGACAGCAGTTTTACTGTCTCAGATGATTCAGGGCCAGACCCTTGGCTCCCACTGTCTTGGGCAAGGACAAGGGACTAAAGAGCGGGTCAAGCAATGTCCATAAAACAGATCTTCACAGAGAGGGTTTGAGATCAGCTCAAACTGGCCTTCCTGCAAGGAGGAAGGGAGCTCACCAGTAGTCCTCCCAGCCCGCTCGGGAAAGTTTGTCAGGCCTGATCAGGCCCTGGCCCAGGAAGTCTTGGGGGATGCAGGGCTGGTCTGTGCCTTTCTTTCCACTCAAAGGACCCAGGGACTTTATTTGCTGCTGCAAACAAATTGCTGCAGTCTCAGGTCATCTGTCTCTACCAGACAGGCCAGCTTTGGGTGTCCTTTTACCAAGGCCACAGCCCCTCCCATACGTCACCTCAGGACCCCTGAGGTGACCCTCCTGGCCATCCCTGCATGATACTCAAGGTGGACAACCCTCAGCCAGGCTGCGCTTTACTGAGCAGAGTCACCATCTGCTCCGACATACTGATTCTTTAAAAAAAACTAACTCACTTTCTGCACCAGCAAGAGTATTCTCTATCTTAAAGGTTACTGGGCTTTCAGTGTTTCCTCAAAGTATTGGTTAAAAACAAAAGGAGCTGGGCATGGTGGTACACACCTGTAATCCCAGCACTAGGGAGGCTGAGGCAGGAGGACTGCTATGGTTTTGAGGCCAGGGTGGGCTACATAGTGAGTTCAAGTCTCACCTGAGTTACAAGAGGAGAGACCCTGTTTCAAAACAAAACAAAAAAACCCGGGTTCCACTGTGGCCTCTAGGTGGCAGTGTGGTAAAGGTGGCAATGCTGCCTATCTCCGGAAGGCCAGCTTGGCGGGGAGTCGGGTATTACCATGGGCCTTGGCCTTGCTGGCCCACTCGGAGACGTCGTCCTGGGCCCGGCCGTCCGTGAACACAATGGCCACTCTGGGCACGCGCGCGGAGAGGGGCCTGGCGCCCTCCGCCGGAGTGAAACTTCTCTCGAACATGTGCTTCAAGGCCAGCCCGGTCATGGAGCCCTTGCCCATGTACTTCATGTTGGCCACGGCTTTGCGCATGTCCTTGGCTGAGTGGAAGCTCCGCAGGGTGAACTCAGGCCGCACCTGCGTGGAGTACTGGAGCAACCCCACGCGGGCGGCCTTGGGGGAAATGGCCAAGGAATCTATGATTCCAGTGACGAACTGCTTCACGATCTCAAAATTCTCTTCACCAAGGCTCTTGGATCCGTCAATCACAAAGACCAGGTCAATTGGGCCCTCGGTGCATCCTGCTGGAACAACGGGCAAGTTAAGTAATTAGAAAGCATTCGTGCATAAGAGCAAAGAAAACGATGCTCGGCTCAAGGCCTAACTGCTTTGGGAACCACTTTGATTTGTTATTTTAGGAAGACAAGAGGTGTTGGGGCCGAGTGTGGTGCCACATGCCTCTAACCCCAGCACTCAGGAGGCTAAGGCAGGAAGATTCCCATGAATTCAAAAGCCCAGCCTAAATTACTTAGCAAGATCCACAGACAGGTGTGGTGGTTGATCCCAGCACTCGGGAGGCTGAGGCAGGAGGACTGCCACAAGTTCAAGGACAGCCTGAATCACAGAGTGAGGCCGGCCGTCTCAAAAACAAACAAACAAAAAGCTGTGTGTGGGAGGTTACAATGATCACTTCTGCAAAGGCTCTGGGTTCAATCCCCATTTAAAAAAATCATTTTCACATATATTTTTATTTGTTTGGTTTATCAAGTTGGTAATTTTCATAAGCAACCCCACATGGCAGATGTTAAAATTATGTAAGAAACCAGGCCCACCCTGTACCCTGATCACTGACTACCAAGTCTGAGAGGGCTGTGTGTGCAGCACACGGAAGAGGCTGGCCTGGCCGTACCCAACTGGCCCTGGGAGGGAGACATCACTCAAGTACTGGCATTCAGAAGGTGTCAGCTCTGCCGAGGAGCTTTCCTAGGAACCTTCTCTGAATATGCCGACAGTTTATTATTTTATTCAACCACAATCTTATGTATTGAGCATCTTGTTACAGTTTACACCTAGAGTTCCCAGAGGGTCTCATGTGCTCATAAGTGTAGCATTTGGAAGGTGACTGGATTAGGGTGGCTGATAGCTGACTTGGGTCGGGAGGAGGCGGGGCCTGGTCAAAGAGGTGGTCTGGGGGCGTGGCCTGGAAGAGTCCATCTGTCTCCCGGTTACTCCTTTTACGCTGTGCTTACTGTCCACCATGTGGTGAGCAGCTCCTTCCTCCATGGCCCTCTTCCAGGCTGCCCTGCCTTGGGGCCAGCGGACTGTAGAGTGAACCCTATACTAACCGTAAGCCAAAACAAGCCTCTCCTCCTTTAACGTGTGGGTGCCAGGTATTGTGTCTCAGCAAGGAGAAAGTGACTAAGACACATGGGCACTGTGGGAATCAGTGGACAGGGGAGGACTGCGATAGTGACCGAGACAGAACACCCAACACCACGCTGCTTACAGTCTGACGTGCTCTGCACACTGAGAGAAGCAGAGGTGAGGTGGTGTCTACTGGATAGGACATTCGTAATTATCCTACTGACTGTTACAGCTTAAAATTGACAATCACTGTGAATTATTTTTACCAAAGCCTTTTGGGAAACTCAGTTGATGGTAGAAGAGAAAAAAACTTCATGCAAACACTTAAGCAATTTGGATGTGCAGACTTTTGGTTATTTAGAGCTGCATAAGAAAAATTCATAGACCCCCAAATGGATGATCTCATTTCAGTGCACAGTGTGTTATTATAACATTTTATTTTATGTATCTAATTTTTCAAAGTGAAGCACAGCCAGCTGGGTGTGGTGGCGCACACCTGTAATCCCAGCAGTAGGGAGGCTGAGGCAGGAGGATCGCAGTGAGTGTGAGGACAGCCTGGGCTACATAGTGAGTTTGAGGCCAGTCTGAACTACATAACATGACACTGTCTGAAAAAAGAAAAGAAACGAAAAAAGTGAAGCACAACCACATAAACAAGTAAAGGCACACATGTGCACAAATGTTTCTAGGCTTGGCTGGTGTAGCACAGTGATGTAATTGTGTGTGTATGCACACACGTGTGTGCATGTACATGGAGAGAGCTGGGTTCTTCTTTCTCCATTAAGCCCTTGTCCTCATCACTGAGCCTGTTGATTCTGTGCTGGTGAACAAGGCAGGTGATTAGGGCATGGCAAAGCTGGCTGGCTGTGACACATTATTAGAGCAGTTCCCAAAGCCCTGCACGCGGACTTCTTGTGAGAACCAAGAAGGTTTTCCATGGGATGGACTAGACCTGACAGCCGGAAGCATGGGTAATACAAGGCCAGTCCATACTGAGTCTGCCAGTGTGTTCTCTTTCGCTTGCATGGTGGCTGCTCTCATACTGTAGGGTGTACTCCTTTTCCTACTAACATAGGATGTATACATTAGGCCTTTTATAAAGTACATCATTAGGGCCAGGGATTTAGCTCAGTGGTTCCACCGCCTGCCTCGCAAGCGTCAAGGACCCAAGTTAGATCCCCGGTACCAAAAAAAAAAAAAAAAAAAAAAAAAAAG